TTGTGGAAAAGAGGACAAAGCCACATGGGGGCCTTGAGAGAGGTGAGCGAACATAGTTCAAAGTCCATCCAGATCCGGTCCTGTGGTGTCCAAGCCCTTGTGGTCCCAGGGCCCAGGAGGAAGCCTGGGGTGGGGTGAGGCCCGGCCCAGCCCTTTGCAGGTCCTGTGTTGGTGCCGTCAGACTAGGAAGCATCAGAGACAGAGGCAGAAACACACATAAACACAGCACCACCAGGCTCACCACATCCATGTTTGCTACAGAAAAGCCAAGGCCCCTGGCCAAGATAGAGGCTTCCTCTTTAGGCCTATGGTGCAGAGGGAAGGAAGCATGGAATATTATTTTGGGCTTTCAAAACTTTGATTGTTTTGCACATTCTTGCAAAGTGGGGGGTAGGGGGAGGGATGCCCCAGGGATTAAAAAAAATCAGCTTCTAATACTTCAGATGAGTGGGAAAAATCTTACATGCCGGGAGCATTTCCTTTCTGTTTCGAGAAATTAATGGTGTGCTGGAAATAGTCTGTTGCAAAAGGGGAGACTTCGTGTCCCTTGAATGCTGATTGTGCCAGAAAACTTTCCAGGCCTAAGGGGAGGTTGTGCCTTTCCCAGGACTCTGAGGCAAGCTGACCCTGCAGTTAGACATTCGGTTGCAAGACAAGGCAGCAGAGAGCTAAGATTCAGAGTGAATTCTTTATATATATTTATTTATTTATTTCAGAGAGGAAAGGAGAAGGGACAGAGAGATAGAAACATCAGTGATGAGAGAGAATCATTGATTGGCTGCCTCCTGCACTCCCCACACTTGGGATTGAGCCTGCAATCCGGACATATGCCCTGAACTGGAACCGAACCCTGACCTCCTGGTTCATAGGATGACGCTTAACCACTTAGCCACACCAGCTAGGCATTCAGGGAATTCTTAACTCATTTGTCCGAGAAGCGCACTGAGCCTCATAGGTTTGGTCCTGGAGTGGTGGCTGTCCCACCCGGAGCCCAGGCCCCCAGCTCTGCTCCCTCCTCTGTGGACTGTCCCTGGTCTCTCTGGGGACCCTGGGGGGCTGAAACCCGGCATTCAGAGTTAGCAGAAGTAAAATTCCAAGTTCCACCTGTTAAAAAGTAGGTGTGCATGTCTCTCCTGCTGCAGATGTTAGGGAGCTGGCACCTCAGCAGAAAAGAGCAGAGAGTACAGATCTTTCAGTATCTGTTGGCTTCCAAAGCATTGCATTTCACCCTGGCAGAGAGCTCAGCTGGTTAGAACATGGTCCCGATATGCCAAGATTGTGGGTCCGAACCCCCGTTAGGGAACATCTAAGAACCTATCCATGAATAAATAAGGGGAACAATAAATCTTTTTTCTCCCTCCCCACACACACCTTCTTCTCTTTCTAAAATCAATAAAAAATAAATTTAAAATAAAAAGAAGTTGCATTTCAGAGCTGGACCAGAAATCATCCATTGGGTTTACTTGCATCTGCTCTGGGTAACATGTAGCACATTGAAGTCCTGAGGCTTTCCCCTAATGTCTTACCTAGGTTTGGTTGCCTCTCAGCTGATTAGAGCAGGGATCAGCACTATCTTCTCTGTAGAGCCAAATGGTAAATACTTTAGGCCATACAGTCTTTGCCACAAATGCTCCACTCTGGGCATGGCTGTGTTCCAATAACATTTTTTAAAATATATATTCAGAGGAAGGGAGAGGGAGAGATAGAAACATCAATGATGAGAGAGAATTATTGATTGGCTGCCTCCTGCATGCCCCCAACTGGAGATTAAGCCTTTAACCCGGGCATGTGCCCTTGACCGGAATTGAACATGGGACCCTTCAGTCCGCAGGCTGACACTCTATCCACTGAGCTAAATCGGCCAGGGCCTAATAACATTTTATTTTATGGACAATGAACTATAAATTTCTTAAATTTTTCACATTATGAAATACTAAAAGCCTGATGCACTAAATTCATGCAAGAGTAGGCCTGCCTTCCCCTGACTGTTGGTGCCAAATTCCCTCTGGCACCTGGGACCTGTGCTTCTCTCGCAGAGAGAGGCCCCGCCCACTTGCTACAGCCCACTGGTCGGTGGCCTGGGTCTCCCTCTGTGGGGCAATCATGGGGTGATGGCTGGGCCCCCAACCAATCACATTGCACTGCCTTGGCTGGCCTGGTGCCAGTGGGTGTCATAGCATGCTCCCAGATGACCATCTGGATGGTTGTCCAGATGGTCATCTGGATAGTCATTCCACTGTTCAGCCTTTCAGTCAATTTGCATATTATACTTTTATTATATAGGATTCTTTTTTTTCCAATCACTTAAAGATGTAAAGACCACTCACAAGCCATGTAGAAACAAGTAACAGGATAGATTTGTCCCACAAGCCAGAGTTTGCCAACCCTAAGACCTCTTCTGTCACAAAAAAGGATGCATACATTGATGTTGGTGCTAAGGACCTTCTTACTGGAGGGGATATGATAGAGAAGGGGAGGGATGTGTGCCAGGATTGAGGGGATAGGAGGTGTCACTCTGGGCTCTCCCTGGTGGTCCCACACCCAGGACTCAAATCAGACAATGCTTTCCACAGGTGCCCCCACTTGCCCATGCCCGCTGCCAGTGACCTGGAAACTGAGAATTCTAAAAAGAGCCCTCTCCTTGGGGGCCCTGGTCACACACAGTAGATCTGTCACTGCTTCTCTTTTACCCACTGCCTCCTCCTTCCACCTTCTTCCTTAACACTCAGGCCACTTCTGTTCAAAAGTGTCTCCCAGGGCACCCAGCTCCTCATGTTGATCTCTGATGAAAGTTACCATCCCTGCCTTATCACCACTGACTCGCCAACCTCAGATCCCAAGCTTCTTAAGGCAGGGACTACCTACCATCTTTTCAGGGTACTCAACACATTTTCAAATATCTTCATAGATTGTTTTATGTTGCCACCCCCCATAACTAAAAATACTGGTAAACAAGAAAGAAAAACATGGAACATTTTGGAACTAAATCTTCACTATATTAATTGGAAAGACCCAGATAATGCAAAACAGCTGGTAAATTCAAATTAATTTAAGCATGACTTGAGAGAGCAGACAATCTTATAAACAATAAAATTTTCTTCCTACCTATTTTTTGTTTTTGTCTAGATGTACACATTCTCAAAGCATAGCTTAAAGTCATGCTGGTGGCCAAGGGATGCCAGTCTGGTCTTGGAAATTTGCTTCAGATAATTCACAGAGGGGACAGAGTCATAAACAAAATCAAGTATTGTTCTCCTAGCATGCTGACTGATGCTAAAGATTGTTTTTAAAAAATTTATTTGGCTTTGTGCCCTCTCTTTTAGGTCCTTCCATTGTGACTCCCCCCAAGAACATCTGGAATGTCACTGGTGCCAAGGTGTACTTGAGCTGTGAGGTCATCGGAATCCCAACCCCTGTCCTCATCTGGAACAAGGTCAGTGACACAGATTTTAAGAACACACCCTCTCTCACTGCACAAGGACGGTACTAACCTAAAATCCTCAGCCGGTTCCATTGCCTGCTGCTCCTCCTTGAAACCTTATGGCAATCTTCTAGATACATCCCTGGGATCTAACTAACATTTTTACTGACCACCAAATAGCCCCTGCTCTGCTTTTGTTAGGGAGCCTTAGGAACTGGGAAACTATAATGCTGACACCCAAACTCACCCTCGGTGTGCATGTGTGTGCGTGTGTGAGCATGCCTGTGCTTCAGTATGAGTGTCAGCATGTGTGTGCATGAGGAGGGGGTGTCCCCATTGGGGGGTGAGTTCCTTAGCCAGGTTGGCTGAGTTCTCTCTAAGTCAGGGTTTCTTAGCCTCAAGCACTGTTGATATTTTGAAACAGATCATTCTGTGTTGTGGGGGCTGCCCTGTGCCTTGTAAGGTGTTCAGCAGCATCCCTGGCCTCTACCCATTACATGCCAGTAGTACCCACCCCCTCAGTGTGACAGTCACACAGGTCTCCGGACATTGCCAAATGTCCCCTGGGGGGAAATCACCTAGATTGAGAGCCATTGCTCTAAGCCTCCGTTTCCTCCTCTGTATCATGAAAGTAGCTTACAATTCTTGAAAAGATGACATCAAGTAAAGCAGGTAAAATCACTTGGCTTGTCAGATATGTAGTTGGCACTGCTTGTTAGCTACTATTCCTGGAAATGTTTCCCTTCAGGTGGTATTGTTTTGTGTAACTATCTTCCAATTTGAAGGACAACATATTCTCAGCATGTCTGTAGAAGGGAAAATATTTGCCAGGTCAAATAATACTTAACAATTGCACGGTGCAGAATTTTATGTTTCCCAGTTTGTATATTTTGACTCGTTTTTAGCACCCCCCATGAAAATCCTATTAAGTACATATCAGACTGGTGCAAACAAACAGGAAATCTATTTCAGTAGAAAGGCATAACCAGACACTTATTTGCAGCAGGTTTACTTCTCCAGCAAGTTCTAAGATGGATGATGGTCTCTTGATTATTTTGTTGGCTTGGTGTCTGACCAGAGGAGCAGTTTCTGGAACTCTGGGAGGGATTTTGGCACCAGAACTCTTTTTTGTTGCAAGTTGTAGAACTCACTTCAAACTAGTCTAGGCAAAAATAATGGAGGTCGAGTGGGGTGGTGATTCCAATTTCAAGGGCAGCTGGATCCAGATACAATGTGCCTAGCCTCCTGGCTCTTGACTCTGCTCCCAATGTACTGGTCTTATTCTTTTCTTCCACCTCAGAAAGCTTGCTCCACACTGTGAGCGATATAGTCACTGGCAGCTCCGAGTTCACATTATCACGGCTTAATGATCCCAGAGGAAATTTTGTTCTACTCTTTTCTAGTGCGTTTGTAAAATCCCCCCCGCGGGACCTTGATTCACATTGGGTCACCTGCCAACCTCTGGCGCCCCCATGTGGCCAGAAGGCAGCATCGCCCCCATCGGGCCCTCTGGTGGGAATGAAGGCAGTGTTTTTTCCAGAAAATGCCTGGGGGTGGGCAGAGACAGCACCAGCTAGCTGCATTACAACTATCCTTTGCAGCTGAAGCAGCTGTTAAAGGAAGCAGTGAAATTCTTTCGCCTCAATAAGTCATTTTTTTAAAGGGGAGTGGGAAGCAATGAAGAGCAAAAATGCAGCTGATGGGTGTGTACCTTCTGGCCTCATGGTGAGAGCTGCTGCCGCTCCTCCTTGCTTGTTTGGAGGCTACTGGTTTGCTGGGGAGTGAGAGGCGGAGAAACAATCTTTCCAAAGAATGTCCATACAAAGCTCTGCAGCGCTCTAGGGACTACACAGTGGAAGCCACCTCTACCCAAGTGTCCAAGGCCTGTGACCTATTGACAAACCCAGAAGCGAGTAATTTCTTCAGCCCTTTCTCTGCCCCTCCCCAGCTAGCGGACACACACCAGGGGAATAAATCTGCCCGGGGAATCTTTTCCTTTAAGCTTCTGGGACTGTGTGGGACAGATCCCATGGGCTTCCTTAGGGCTTATCAACTGTGGGGAGGGGAGTTGGGGGACAGGAAAAAATAATTTTCTACAAACTTGCCAGAAACAAGCAAAAACGCAGCTGCTAGGCTCTGCTGATTTTCCTCTGCCTCCATCGTGTAATTTGCCACATGGGTGGCATAAAGCAGTTGTTTCAACCTGCAGATCACGAACCACCAGTGAGTTCTGAGTGTAATGTAGGAATCACAGCCTGCAGTTTCTTAAAAATAAAAAATAGGACAGGAAATATCTTAAGGCATCACATTTAGTAAAGGTATCATTTCCTAAAACCTTCCTTTTGTATGTGCCCATGTCAATTCACTTTAAAAGTCATGACTTAATTAAACAGGACATTTGTTTTCTCCCCACTGTCCTTGTACCAAACTGCTGAGAATACAGGCTTTCTATGCATTCCCATGTCCAACTCCACTTTAAGCACGGAACTGTTTGTGGGTACAAATGAGTAATAGAACACTGAGGTTCCAAGGTGGCATGTCTTTCATGCTCAAGCATCTCAGCAACACCCGAACTAACAGGACACACCTTCTCTCCCGACACCAGGCGACAGCACTTCTATGGTGGTCACAGCCTGATGAGTGGTCTGTGATTTCCTGATCAGTAGTTACCTTGTGATATTAACCCGCAACCTAGGTGTGTGCCCTGACCGGGAATCGAACCCTCAATCTTTTGGTTCATGGGACGACACTCTAAACAAATGAGCCACCCGGCCTGGGCCATAGTTTGCCTTTATAAAAAGGGGGAAAAGTTAAGACAGTGTTTACTGTTGGCCTCAAACCGAGGAAACGGAATCTCTTAACCCATCCTGACTCTCCTGAGATACACAGGGATAGGCAGGAAGTTTTGTCATGAGAATGACATAGGCATTTGTTTGACAGGCGTTTTTGTTCTCAGGACTTTAGTACATACTTGGTGAATCCTTAGCCCTCAAAGAATTGGTATTTAACTCAGCCTACTGTTTTGCACTGATGAGGCTGTTGCAGAAAGAACCCCTGCACCTGGGCTCCTGCAGAAGGTCCCAAGCACCAACCCTACCTAGCACTGGGCGATACTGTTTGCCGCTCACACATGTCTTGGCAAGCAAGGAGAGGCCCAGCAGAGCAGCAGAACGTATAAGGGCATGAGCAAATGATGGTGTCCCGGGGCAGGAGAGCATGACGTGTGTTCCCCACACATGCAGGAAAGTACATTCATACAGGTAAGGTTGTATAACTTGAAACATAGGGAGGGAAACTGACAGGATGGGGATCTTTCATGTACCTATTCAGGAAAAATATGAAAATTGCTAGTTTTAACCCAGTTAAAAAGTCTGATGTACTTCTTGTGCAATTATAGAAACGTGGCCTCTTCTAAGGTGATGATTCAGTGCAGAGAATGCAGAGACAATTTCCCTCTATTTTGCAGGTAAAAAAGGACGATAATAGATTTCACAGGACAGAACTCTTGCCTGGTGACCGGGACAACCTGGCCATTCAGACCCGAGGTGGCCCAGAAAAGCACGAAGTAACTGGCTGGGTGCTGGTGAGTCGCAGGAGCTGGCCAGGCTCTCGTTGTTGGAATTAGACACCGCGGACCTGGCAGAGACGCCCGGTGCACTGCCCGGCTGGAAGCACTCACACGGAGCTGCTACTCCACTTTCAGACGCAGCTGAAAACAGCTGAAGTTCATTGGATGTTTGGAAATGACCAACAAATAGGAACTAATTTTTTTCCTCTACTTCAAAGCAAAATGATCACAGACCTGATCCACGCATTAAGTACTTTAATCAAGTACTGATTAATAGTTATTTTACCTGACCTTTGATGGTTGTAGATACTCCCTGTGTAGTACTGAGATCACACACCCACCCTATCAAGGTCTTCCTCCAACTGTTGTGTTGTTAACCTCTCCAGTTGTTAACCTCTGCAATGTGACCGAAAGTTGTCGGTAACATTTCCTCAGGGTACGCATCTCCCCGGCAAACCAAATCCGGTAGTTGTGTAATTCTCCTAGCATGGGGCTTGCACTATTTCTAGCAGTATCTTTGCTGTGAATTCCTTGGTCATCACAGGAAACTTACAACGACTTCATTGAGACCACGAGGAAAAGAGAGGACCAGCAGAGAGGCACTAACGATTCTTTTCCATTCACAGTTATCGCCACTCAGTAAGGAAGACGCTGGAGAATATGAGTGCCATGCATCCAACTCGCAAGGACAGGCTTCAGCATCAGCAAAAATCACAGTGGTAGACAGCATACATGAAATACCAGCGACTAAAGGTAGGTACTACATCTCAGCCACTTAAGAACTAGCGCTTGTGCTTAATAAAGAACAGAACCAAGTTAGAAAGTATCCGACAGCCCTTAATGAAATTCTGTAATGTCAGGAATCCACAGGGGCATTAAGTGTATCATCAAAATGTAGAGCACACAGCTCCAGAAGTACATCCGGATGGTTGATGGAATGCTGTTATTACAGTAAACTTAGATTGTTTCCCCTTATACATGAGACAAAAACTCAAACTTGGCTGGGATGGCTTCTATTTCCCATGACTATCTATCCACATGGCATTTTTCCTTGATGTTGTGACTATTAAGTTCCCACTTAAAAGGAAATGATTGTGGGTACTTCCCTTTGAGCTCTTATTTTTAAAAAAGCCAGAAAGGAGAGTATATTGGCAAGTACCCAACTCTGTTCTGCCTCTACCCACTCTCGTGTCAAAGCTTCCTCTTAAGCACCCATCCTGGTAGTGTCAGAATGATACTACTTTACATTTATATAGTTCTATTAGACTGATGTCTGGATTGGCTTTTCCTTAAACCAAAAATAAGAACAAAATTTATTATCAGCATTTGTCAAACCATTCCTCTGTGTGGATCACTCATCTGTGGTATGAAAGGAAGAAATATCAAGAAAAAGATGTCTGATCAGATTCTCTACAGCCAAGATGTGTAAAGCCAGGAGCTGAAACAGATAGAGCAACAGCTAAGAGTCATGTGTTTGAGTCTCAGCTCTGCCACTAATTATTCCACTTTAAATTTTGGATGACAGCTGGATGACAAAGGAAAGGTCCTTAGCCTCTCTGGATCTTAACTTGATGGTTTGTGAAATGTGCTCTGCCAGTTCTATAAAGTCCATCTCTTGCCCTGGCTGGTTTGGCTCAATGAATAGATCGGCCTGTGGACTGAAGGGTCCCAGGTTTGATTCCAGTCAAGGGCACATGCCCCAGTTGCGAGCTCAATCTCCAGTAGGGGGTGTGCAGGAGGCAGCCAATCAATAATTCTCTCTCATCACTGATGTTTCTCTCCCTCTCACTTCCTCTCTCTTATCAAAAATAAAAAAGTCCATCTCTTACACACAGATCAATATGACAAAATCACCTTCCACATTCAAAATTGTACAGCTCAAATTCTAAACAGCACTGCACCATCTATCATCTATGCCAGTGATGGCGAACCTATGACACGCGTGTCAGAGGTGACAGGCGAACTCATTTTTTTGGTTGATTTTTCTTTGTTAAATGGCATTTAAATATATAAAATAAATATCAAAAATATAAATCTTTGTTTTACTATGGTTGCAAATATCAAAAAATTTCTATATGTGACACGGCACCAGAGTTAAGTTAGGGTTTTTCAAAATGCTGACATGCCAAGCTCAAAAGGTTCACCATCACTGATCAATGCAGTTACATATCCTTTATCCCCCACATTTTAACGTCATTTATTTGGAAACACTAAGCCACCTAAAAATTAGAAAGTCAACCATGTACATATATGTAACTATTTTTTTTTCTTTTTTTAAACAGGTGAAAGTGCCAAGCTATAAACCTGAAGAATACATTAGTCTGCATAGCTAAACATAGTCATGGATAACTACTACCCTGTTCTTGCCTAATAACCAGTTTCTTTTCATCCAGTCCACTAACACCTTAGTTATATTCACCGACTTTACACAAAGATAACACATCAAGACTATCTACAAAAATTTATTACCTGTTTACAGAAGAAAAGCATGCATATCATCAAACAAAACAAATAAACTG